AGTTGCTTGCTAATAAAACATATCAGTTGCCCTTTCACAATTTTTAAAATTTCCCTCTCATGTTTACTTTGTCTTGTATGCCCAGTAAGAGCAACGTTAATTTCCAAGTTATGTGCATGTGGAAAAGATCTTAAACTGAATCCATCCATTTGTTGGCTATTGGAACTATTCTGCTAGAAAACCAGCATCTCATTTGCCATCAATGGGAGTAGAGAAACAGACCATATGTTTTTATGAGTCATGAGATCAGTGGCAACATTGTCAGTGTAGTCACACATGAGAATCCCTTATAATGAATTCGTATTTAGCAAGCCTGGTTTGTCTAATGAAAGTCTGAGCCAGATGTCAAAGTTACTATACTCATTCTGACAATTCACTCTCTTCTAATTACTGGTGTCTATAAAAATCCTAGAAGCATCATCATCATACATACATTATTCTATTATCCCATTACTGGATGTGCTTTTCCTGCTTTCACCCTCTGTAAGCCATATAGGTAACTTAAAAGCAACAACTAAGAAAGGGATTTCAGTTCATAAAAATCTAGATCAAATTTAATAATTTTACATTTGTTAACAAATGTCAACAATTTAAGGAGAACAGGTATCTTACTGGAAATTATTTTTAAAAACCTTTGTACATTGTTTTAACAGAGCATGGATAAATGCATTAGGAATTCTTTTTGCTAACACATTTTGAAGGCAAATGCATTAATTCTAATAAGTATTTAGGGTTCCTACCCAAAATATATGCAGGCTGTTCGGGCTCTCCATCCTGAAAAATTCTTGTAGAATCATTTCTAATGTGGCATCATCCACTCAGAGTTGTAGAGCAATGTTTTATTACATGTACTGTAAGATAGAACATGTCTTGTCTTTTCTCAATAGCATCTGAAGTTTGCATAGATGACATCGGTTACAAGGAAGAAATTTTATTTTCTGTCACTCAAATAAGTTCAGTTAAAAGTTAACAGTCAAATAGCGTTATTTCAAACTTAGATGGAACCTGTAAATTAGTAACATGGTACATTTGAAATGTACAGGCATATAATGATGCTATTTGTTTATAAAATAAAATCCAATCCACTCTTCTCCTCCTGTAGCCAATAGCTATGTTAGGCCAGTAAAACTATGTTAAATAAACATGGAAGGAGTAAATCTGGTCTCACTAATAACAGGTTACATAAAGAAGTCCAGTTTCGTGCTCACAATATTATCTGTGCCTTTGTTCTCCATAGGTTATTTGTAAGCAAGCAGCAGTCATTATAGATAAAAATTAATATCTACATAAGTGTGAGAGTCATTAATGTGGGGGCTGAGTTAAAGAATGGTACATTTATCTGGGCAGCTACAGACTGCTAGGATTCTTTTTTTGGTTTTGTTCTAACTAAATTATCTTATAATTTCCCAGAGCTCTGAGAAATGTTTTGATTAAATAATATATTTCAATAGCTGCAATTTGGCGCCAGACTTGCATAATATGACAGAAATGATATACTACAAAGATTTCCTCGAAAGGAATAATGGTAAGTGTACTTTGTAACTGACTAAAAGCAACCTTTCCACTAATGTGGTTGTAGTAAATTAATTTTGTTATTTAAATAGAAGGAAGGAAGTATGAAAACTATTTCTATCACGTATCTTCCTTCTCTGGCATACCTTTAGGGAAAATGATGGAAGTAACAACAAATGTGTTGCGTATCCTTAAATATATTAATATACCAGTGGAAATCTTTTGGTGTTCTTTTTTTTCCTGTTTGGAGTGGGCAAGACCACAGAGCAGAGGTCTCCAAACTTAGCAACTTTAAGATTTGTGGACTTCAACTCCCAGAATTCTCCAGCCAGCACAGCTGGAATTCTGGGAGTTGAAGTCCACAAGTTTTAAAGTTGCCAAGGTTGGAGACCCCTGCCCTAGAGGATGCAACTGCATTACAGGGAGGGGTGGGATTTTTCATTTTTTGAAGTTTGGGAATGAGGTTTAAAAGCCATTTCCTTCTTACTGAGTGAAGCCTATGTTGATTTATATGATACAATTTACAGGCTATCCAACCTGAAATGATTCTAGCTAGCTTACATGAAAAAAGCAGGTATAATGAAAACAACATAAAATACAGAACATTACAAAACCAGAAGACAAACTCTCAATAACAAACAAAACATTTTGTTAGAATTTAACCAGCATGCTGTCCCAAAAATCTTCAGTGACTTTTGTAATGTCTGTTAGGTATAACATAGGTCACCTAACGTAGTTTGGGTAAAATAATATATATAAGCTATGATTGTTAGTTTAAGTGTGTGTCACTTTAACTGCAAAGCATGTATTTTGGGTGTGGTGTGAAACCACCATAAGAGGGAGCATGACAACCTGATTGATTGCTGACAAGACGCTGACAGTTTGCTGGCAATTACTGACAATTACTGGATTGGATTACATTGTATGGTTTGTTAGCTGCGTATTTCCCTACTGAAGAGTTGCTGAAGGAAGAGAGGAGGTTTTTTTTCTTTATATCTCTCTACTGCGAGGAGATATATCACCGAACTGATATTTGTAAGTGTACTGACCTCTCTTTTTCGACACTGGAATTTGCAACTGCATAATCCCTGGACGGACTGAACTAAGTGAATGATATATGGACTGTTTTGACTATGCTTTAACTCTTGCTGGAATAAAACTATTTAATTAGCACTGTGCCTCTGTTTACTGAGTGTAAGCTACTAAAAAACGATATCTCACATATTTTGCCTGCCTGCCTGACTGCCCTGCAGATCTTGCTAGGGTGTATCCCTAACAATGTCATCAGGAGGGGAGCCTGGGGAGATATCATTCCAGAGGGCAGATGTCACAGTAAGGGTGCTTCTTAGGGCCCAATATGAAACTTTTTAATTGAAGGGACCCAAAGTGCATCCTCTCTGATCAGTCTCACTGGGTGGGTAGAGACTGTTGGCGTTCTGTAGGCTGTCCTTCAGATAACCTGAACGGATGCACCAAGGGCTTTGTAAATAATAACCAGCATACTGAATTGCACTTGAGAGCCATCTATCCACCAGTGCAGCTTGAAAAATAGTCATGCCAGAGAAGCCATCACTACCACATTCTTTCCAAATGATCTTCAGGGGCAGTCTGATATAGACTGCATTGAGATAGTTCATGAGGTGATTGGCGTATGAATGACTTCAAGCAGAGGGGCAACTGAAAGTCAATTAAAATTAATTCAGTTAATCTGTTTCCTCTAGGATTCTCTAGACCTCTTGCCTGACAACCTTCTCATCGAGGGAAAGTTGTCCAGAATTAATAGGTCCAGCAATGGCCACACTGCCTCTTTCAAGGTCAAAGGAGCTAGATGATGACACCTCCTACATGGATGCAATCATGAATCTTTCCTAAGCAACCTTAACAATCTAGATTGGACTTCTACTAGTAAGCAGATGGCTAAGCTCATAGCCTGAAGGTCTCTCTTCCTTTATTGGGCCCAGATTCATTCCAGACAACCCTACATAATTCTTATATGTTTCCCATTAAAAAGTGGTAAGAGGCTCTATGGGGGCCACATGTTTAGCATCTGCAGACAGAGTGCAATCATGGGATTGCAGTTTTTCACTCCTACCTTAATAAATCAAGTTTTTTTAAAAAAAAATCTGTCAGAAGATCAACTTTTATCCCGTGCTTTTGTAGTCTTGCACTGATGTGAAAACTAACACATGTAGCAAAGAAAACTACCAGCACAGATGGAAATTATTGAGATTTATGAGAGGGCTATTGTTCCCTCATACAAATTCACTGTTTAAACAATGATGAGTGATGGGATGGCAATATGCCATTTTCCGAGCTTTGATTTGTGTCTGCTCTGTACTAATGAAAAGCACATGCCTTCCAGTCAGTAACCTATAGTCTCAAGGAACTTTAGCAATGATAATACCTATTCAATAAACCAACTGTTTGCCATATTTTCTTCAGTACAAGTAGTGAATAGTACAGACAGCGAATTGGAAAGAACATGAGACTCACTATTATTAATTCCATCATCTGTCTATTGAAATGGTGGTGTAAAAGTTCAGGGGTGAAACACAAAAGCTATTATATAATATAGTAACACACCGTATTCAGGTTTTGTGGTGGTTAATCTCTTCACATACAGAAGGATTTCCAAAATGTACCATAGATTGCTAGCAAGTTAAAATTCTAGAATTCACCTGGCACTAGATAACACAATTCCTGTTTCACAATTCCTGAATTTTAAATTGTTGTGATGTAGCATTCTGCATATTGCATAGTATAGTACTGCATGTCAAAGTACCAATTTGTAAACAGGACTGCAGTGTTCTCATTTTCTTCTGGAAGAGTCTGTGCCATTTAATAGGTGAATATTCAAATAGATATTGTCAAAACAATTCCTGTTGAAGTTTTACTTGTCATGCAGCTGTCAGAGGCACAGCTATTAGACCAAAAAGAAGCAGCCTTTTAATTACCACAGACTCACAAAGTAAAACTCAAAAAGCAAATAGAGTGTATTTTCAGATTTTAAATTACTTTGCTTTTGGCTGGGGGAATGGAAACATTAAAGTGGAATTGACAAACAGCCATTGTGTTACCTTTTTAAAAAATTAGAACAAGCATTAATAGAATGTGGATATTTCCCATCCTCTTGGGGATTTGTTATCTTACAAAGATAATTCAGTCTTAAATAGGTTGATTTGAAAAAAAACAACCCAAAGGGGATTTCAGTCTAATCTTATTTAATGCTGTCTTAAACGTAAGTATCACACTGAGATTTAACATTCAAACTACACTGAGTTTAAGGGACAACTGTGTTTTGCTAAAGGTGCCTTTTCATAAGAATGCTTAGTATGTGGAACATCAAACTGATCCAAACAATTTCTAAATTATCAGAGGACTAGGAACCTTCTAAAACTTGCTTTTATACCTCATCAAATTGGCTTACTCAGGCATGGAAGAGCAAGCTGAAGTGTCTGTTTTTTATGGTGCTAAAAATCCCCTATCCAGAATAATGATGTCTAGAATAATGGAGAGGTAGGAACAATGGAGCAGGTGCTATTTGCTTATATGAAATACAATAGTCTACTGCTGCTAGACTTCCCAGACATTTCTATACATCTTGCCTATTTATTGTCTGACAAGAGCTCCACCATAACTATAATGTGGCAAAATTTTGGGTGGCAGCATGTAAGATCAGAAAGACATGGGTTCCTCCAAAATGTCAACTAAATATTATTCATATAGTAAATTAACTATGGCAGGGGTATCAAACTCATGTCATCATGGCAGCATCACATGACTTATCCCAACCTTTTCCTCCTTTGCTAAATCAGGCATGGATGTGGCCAGCACATATCACATCTGACCCATGAGTTTGACAGCCCTGGTCTATGAAGACCTAAAACAAGATGGATTGACAACATCAGCAAGTATTGCAGGCCCAATTGGCAAAAGAAAACTCAAAACCATATTGGTTGGAAACATGAAGAAGAGGCATTCATCCTACAATGGATGACAATGGTTAAAATGATGATATATTTTTATACCTGTGACTTTGTATTGTTTTGGATTTTAGTACTTACTATAGCACTCTGATTATACCTTCTCTACTTTTTATATTGTATTCTATGCTAGTCTTTGGTTATAATAAAGTTGAAGAATTGCAATAGTAGCAAATATCTGTAGCTTGGGTGTACGATGAAGGTGGAGGTTCATTCTCCAAACTTGTGAGTTGATTCCAACCATTTCATCACCAGGCTAGGTAACATCTTCAGCAGAATTAAAGGGATGTTGGTGTAATTCTGATTCTAATTCTTCTGCTTATAAGGACTTTGTATGGTCAGTAGATCTTGTGATTGTGAGGTCACATCAGGTCAGGGTCACATTAGGTCATGGGTCTTGTCACAAGTGAGGGTCACAAGTGAGGGTCTTGTGATGGATCTTGTGATGGGCCAGGTGTAGGTCATGTCAGGTGAGGGTCTTGTGATGGGGAGGTCACATCAAGTGAGGGTCATTGGAAAGTCCTGGTAGGGGGGTTGTGTGGGTTGATTGAAGGTCAGTGCTGTCACTGGTTGGTTGTACAGTTGATTTGAATTCTCAGATGGTCATAGATTGATGTGTCTGTTGATGGAATTGTTTGTGGAGTGCCAAGCTTCGGTTAACTTGTGAGCTTGGCAGGTGGTTGTGTGGCTGATGATTCTTGAATTGTTCCAATTGAATTTGTGCTGTTTGGTGTCAATGTGGCTGGAGATTAGAAAAATCATCTCAGATTTATTCATCATTTCAGTACTCTTCTCTAGTATCTAGAGGAGGACCTTTTGAACTTGGAAGAGGGGGGTGTCTCAACATCTGTCACCCAAACTTCCCTAAATGTTTTGGCTGTATATTTTTGTGGCAACAGCACAGAAGTGCATTTTCAATCTCTTTTCCCCTAATGAGTTTCTTTTCTTTTCCCAGGTGGATTGTCTCCATTCTACTTGCAGAACCACATCTGCACTACATTAACTGCTGTATCACCTGCACTGTCACATTACTCTTAGCCTACTCTCTTTGACTTTGTCAGCAAGGATAATCCTACCAGGTGTTCCTGTTCTTTTAGTGTTGTTCTTAGAGACAAAGGAACTATTGAACCTGCCAACTATATCAAGGTAGTAATCTCCCAAAAGACAAGGTGACATAGGCAGGTAAATGCTGTATAATTCCTGAAGCAGGAAAAAAAGAAAGCAATTGCAGCTGATCTGAACCATGTGCCTCCTTATAACCCACCCACCCTCTCACTCTCACTCTCTGCCAGGGTTCTTCTACCTGACCTTAATATTTAAAGGTGCCATCTTCATCACCTACCAAAGATAGTTACTTTGTTATGCTCTCAGGAGTTTGTCTTCTGGTAAATTGGTGCTTTGTGACTGGTCATAACCACCCTGGAAATGTTTTGTGAATGTGATAGCATTCTTATGGTAACCTTTTTTTATCACCACCACTCTAACCTCAAAAGATTTGAGCTACATTACCTGACTCATTGATGAAGACTCAAGACTCATTGTTATTCCCCATTGAAAAATAAATTAACTTTGCAGCTACCTATGCAATGCTTGTGGTAGATTCATTTCTTGATCCAAGCTAGAATTCAGAAAGTTCTGAAATGCCATTCATTCTTGGGTTTATGTTAGCTTGGAAAGGAAAAGGTCAATCCATCTTTCACTGCAAAGAAAGAACAAGCAACAATATAAAATACCTTTTCCAAACTTGATTTTATTTCAAAATCTTAGTCCTAAGAGCCTTTGAACACAAACCGTGGAAGGTTTCCTTTCATTAAGAAGCAAACTGCCTTAACTCTCTTTTCTTTTGGAATACTGTGTTAAATGAAGCTAGTGTTAATGCCTGATATGTAAACTTTCTTGCTTAATTGGTGGTGTGCCCTCAGCTTGGTGAGTCACAAGTTATGGAGACAAGACATGCTTTTTTATACATGGAGTTGAAAATTGTGACTCCTTTAGTAAACAACTACAACGGGCTGTCAAACTCACGGCCCATGGGCCAGATGCGTCACCTGCTGGGCCCACCCATCCCCAGTTTAGCAAAGTGGAGAAAGTCCCAATACATCACCTGATGACAATGTGAGTTTGACACCCCTGAATTACAACAATCCTGAGGAACTATCTCATCCCAATTACATATACCCCATCCCACCTGCTCAAGCAGGAAGAGCACATTACAAATCCCTTGGGTGAAAGAATTCCAAATGGCGGGCTCTAAGAAGAGGGCCTTCTCTGTGGTTGCTCCCACCCTTAGAATGTCTCACTCCCAAAGGTGAAACAAGCCCCACCCCCTCTTCTGATTTTCCAGAAGGCTATTAAGATCTGGCTTTGCCAATTAACATGGGCGTTTAAGAGTGTTCTGCAGCCTTGGGGATGGCTGGTGGCTCAAGGGCACTCTTTCCACCCTGTTAACCCTTTAGCCTTATGAAGTCTTCAACTTTGTCACTTTTAACTTGTAAACGTTAACCTTATTTTTATTTTATTTTAACTGTGATTTTAGTCACGTTCAATATCTTTTCACTATGTTGTTGATAAAAAGTCACTTAGATGAGATGGATGGATGAGACAGTGTAGAAATTCGATAAATAAATGAACAAATAAAACAATGTTGTACTTTGCTCTTAATGATGACCTAGAATGTGATGCATATTAAATAAATGCATTCTGTGTACTTTGATGATATCACTCAGAACAGAGAAATAGTTTGCACCACAAGATCATTTTGCACATATTTTATTACTCGTGTTTCCTTGTCTTTCTTTTGGAGATATAAATGGAACCACATGTGAGAAAGTTGTGCCATTTAGGTTCTTATTGTCAGCAACATGTAATTTAAAAATATTTTCCAAATTACAGTAAAGGTAATGATTTGGATGATAATTTTTTGCTAATGGTAAGATAAGACTAGTAACAAAAGAGTCTGTTGCTGAATAATAATTTGTAGTCTGTTTTATAACTGTTTTTCTCAACAATTAGGCAAGTGTTTCTCTTGTGTGCTTTTTCTTATAATTGTGCCAATCTACCATCAGCAAATCTGCATATAAAAACTTAAACTTGAAACTTATTGCCTCTTATTCTCTTGTGGAAAATAAAATAAAAATCACATGTAGCATTAACTATAAATACTTTTCTTTTTATTTCAATACCACAAGTACTGTAGAAGATGCTTAACTAATGAATATTTTAGAGGCAGAGGTTGGAAATGAAAAATTATGTACCCTGCAACATTTATCCATATTATTCATATTGCTTCATAAGCTTCATAAATTTGGCAATCATTTGCAGGAGCTTCTGACTTTGTGAATCTGAATAATACCTGAATTTACATTTTTAAAATAGGTCAATCAGCAATTTTGTGTGTGTTTTTCAGATTCAGCAATCCTAAATGTAATAGGGAAATTAATATGGAAAGCTAAATAACATTTAGTGGAAATTGCAATCCATTTAATTCTGTGTCTTCTCCGATATGCCATCTTGGATTTAGGATATAAGGCTTTTAAGACTTTGATTTCAGATGAGTTCTCCTTCTCCCGTCCCACCTCCTTTTATTTAACATGCTTTATTTATTACTTAACATGTTGTGGGATGGATTAAGACATTTTTAAAAATCCCAAAGAAAGAAAAGGGCAAACCACTTCTATACCCACTGCTAGAAATATCCTACTCAAGCTTGATTTGAAGAGCATTTTATTAATTTAACATAACTGCCCTTAGCAGTTTTTGCATTTTGTACTCCCTGTATAGATACTTGAAAATTTAAATCATTTCACCATACCCTTAACTTTACATTTCATTTGTAAGTTGGAAATCTAAGGGCATCCAAATAGCAATAACAACAATGGCTCCCTTCTCCCCCAAATCATTTGGAAATGTTTGACCTTTAAAAGCTTTCAGATGAGAGTCACAGAAACAGAAGAGGTCAGACTAACTTCTTAAGGGAGGTTCTTCGATGATCCTGGCACCAGAGTGCCTTGGCTCTCCATCATCTTGTTCTGCAGATCTCTTTCTTATGATGGAGCAACCACAACTTTCAGAAGTTGTGGGTGCTCCATCACTGGAAGCTTTCAAAAAGAGACTGGACAACCATTTGTCTGAAATGATATAGGGTCTGCTGCTTGAGCAGGGGGTTGGACTAGAAGACCTCCAAGGTCCTTCCCAACCCCATGGTTCTCTGATTCAAATTTGCGATGCTGTGTAAGATTCTTAGGAGTATGTAAGAACAGAGGGAGTGAAATGTTTTGGATGGAATTCCTTTCTTAATGATAACATCTCACCTTTTTTCTTTTCTATTCATTGCATTGTATAAATTGCTGTAGTTTTAGTTTCAGCTTTCATTCAGCTGTAGCTAGTTTCTATCAACATTATACAGGAACAGTTGTCCAAATCATTTTGAGTGTTTGCCTAATATGCCCTCAGTCACATTGCATTGGCATAGCAAGTGATGTACATTTGATTTTGCTGTGGGTACAATAACTAGGCAT